AACAGTTGCTGCGACTCTAACTGGAATACATTAAAACTGCCCGCGCGCATGTCCGTCAAGTGAATTCCTCGCTTAACAAAAGCAATGAGCATTTCTTGCTACCTTTAGTCGATAACTTTACTAAACTATTTCACATACCAATAAATGATGATGATAATTGTTTTCGCCATTAAATCTAAAGTGCCTAATTGGTTATGATGAAGTGATTAGAAATATGATTATACCCATTATTGATTACATGTTCCCAGTAATTACTCGCATCATCAATTTTTCTCTTTTTACTGAGGGTTATCCATCTTTCTGGCGTAAAACATACGAGAGGCGTTCAATGTATTCTCGGTATAGGTATGTTAGAAAAAAGATAAAATTATGAAATATTTTTATTTTTCAATATAGTCTCACATGACATCAATACAGAACAGCTTTTCTATTCCCTTGAAAAAATTCGTCTTGGATTGAAAAAATGCTCACGTACGGCGGATTTGAGCTCATTATCCTCAGCAAATCGCTTTACCCGAAGGTTTAAGTTTAGGAATAAAAAGTAGTCACTAGAGGCTAGATCTGAACTGTATAGTGGGTGGTAAATTTCTTCAAACCCGCAGTCTTGTACAGCAGACTTGGAGAGCCGCGCCGTGTGAACCGGTGCCTTGTCATGAAGAAGCAGCACTCCCTTGGTTTAGATTTCGTCTTCAATTTTCTTTTATATCTTATATAGACTCCTGTTTACTCTCAGTCATAGTGTTGAATCCACGATTCATCTCCTGTAACTATCCTATCGAAAACACTTGTTGGGTCGTCACCACACATCTCTAAAAACTCCTTAGAACAGTCAATCCGCGCCTGCTTTTGAAGCGCAGTGAGCATTCGCGGCACCCATCTTGCACTGACTTTTGTGAAGTTGAGATTGTCATGCAATATGTGTGTATGGTACCAACGGATATGTTAGTCATTTCTGCTAAAATCTTAATTCTTACATGTGCATCTTCTAATACAAGTTTTTCAATAATTTTCACATTTTCTTCTGTAGCCGCTGTGATTGGCCCAACCGGACGGGAGTCATCTTCGATGCTTTCCCTGTCTCTTTCGAAATCACTTGACCACTTTTGAAGACATTGAAGGAGCAGAGTCTTGATAAACGGCCACCATTTCTCCATGGATGTTTATTTGAGTTTTTCCTTGTTTAGTAAGGAATTTTATCACCGATTGGTGTTCGATTTTTTTCAACATTCTCTAGTCAGTCATTCCCGTCGTATATGACTGAAGATTATATAATAAGTAATGAAGTCATATTTATACCCTCAATAGTGTTCTTAACACCCTTCGTACTTATTCCCAAGATAAATAACGTTAGTTCTTTTAATAATTTTCAACCAATATCTATCTTTCCCTTTCTTTTCAAGATTTTAGAATAGTTTGAACATAAACAATTATCCAGCTACGAGTACATATTATATTAATAAACCTCTTAATCCCTTACAATCTGGTTTTCTTCCTGTTCCTGGACACACACACAGCATGACCCTCTCTGGACACACAGCATGGAGAAGTCGAAATTAGCTGTTCTGCTATTAATACGTGGTAGAGCCATGCTACAGTTATATTAGTAGTATAGTTGTAGCACGAATGGGTCGGCTCGACCGGGGAAGGACCACGCTCTCACAGAATACCAACGTAAAATAGCAGCTTAACGCTGCTGTGTTTCGTATGGTAAATGTAGAGAACCAGAGACCCATTTTACTGGAAAAGAGGCATTCCATCTTAGTCCTCACGGGTGACGACGCATCTGCATTTTGATTCTTTATTGAGGATAAATGTAGATGTCTATGGGTCACAGCAACCACTTACCATCAGATGGACTGTGTGCTCGTTTGTCACCCTATCCTATAAAAAAAATTGAATTTTCTAATGCTTTCTGTACAGTCAATCAAGACATCCTTCTTGCTATCTATGAATACATGGGTTTCTTTATGTCAGTTTTAGATTAGCCCCCATCTAATATTTGTAATCGCCAACAAAGGGTCAAAGTCAATCAACAATCCTTCTCTGTTTAATCTCATCTTACTACTGGCTTTCCACGTGGAAAACTTTTACATCTTTTAAATCTTAAAACTATAAACTTCAAATCTTCAGTGCTGATTATTTACAGCTGTATGGTCGATCGACCCAGCAGAGATTAACTCTGCAATCTGCGTTGTAATTTAGATCTTCAGTGTGATTGTGACTGGTGCAAAAATTATGATATTCTTGTTAATTCTGTTTTACAGCATTTCAAGACTTCAAGATATTGTAAGGTTGTTCTACGTAAATCGGAACATAGATTAATATATCTATGATATTCGGGCGTCATACACTTTAGTGATTTAGTAACCTCTCTCAGACCAAGAGTGTTGTAAAACGCCTGAAACGTCGATAATCAAAAAAGTTAAAATAAAACGCAATTAAATCCCTAAAATTAGTTTTATTCAACACCACTTGAATGTAAAATAACCTACACTACGATGGAGGTAATTGTGGTAGTAGTAACAACACGGGATTAAGGGAGGGAGGATTGATTTTTTTTAACAAAATTTTTTTTGAACGTAGATTTTATTAACAAAATAACTTATTATCTTTAATATTGTGTAACTAATTTCTGTACAGTTAACAATTGGCCACGAAGCTAATCGCATCTAAGCGGATAATTAAAAAATAATCAATTTAATGCACAACGTAGAGTCGGCGGTGCGGCACAAGAATGTGCGCCATCTTATATGAAAGTCAAGGTGTTGAAATCAGTAACAGTTAAATTCTTTTTTTAGGATATCATAAAAAATAACACAATTACTAAATTATAGTACCATGCTTCGATATAAGTGAGGAATATACCTACTTCGATCAGGACCTGATTTACCCACAGGCTAACTAGGCTGAAGCCTAGGGCGCAAGGTTTAAGGGGGCGCTGAGCTTGCCTTTGCAAGCATCATTTATATACAGAAAATAATTGCTCCATGATGAATATGCGGTTTAAACAGCGTTTAGGTGCAAACCACTACTTCTCTGGACCGTGAATGCGGTCAGTAATCTGCCTGTTCTTTCTAGTTCTAATCTTCCAATTTACCTGACTCATGCAAAAGGGAGGTCTTGGTTGTTACTTTGGACATAGCGAATGCCTTCGATGGGCTTTGCCACAAGGCGCTTTTTAGAAGCTTCATTCCTATAGACTTCCCGAGAAATTGTGCAAGTGGATCATCAGTTTTCATGCAGATTGGAGCATCAAGGTTGTAGTAGACGGTGCATACTCCGACTACTAGTCTATTTATGCTATTGTTCTACGAGTCTATTTATGCTAGTGTTCCACAAGTCTGCACCTACGCTGTTTCTTCTGTATACCAATTAAATATGTTGCTGTTACTGGTTGTAATAGTGGTGATGATATTTCCACCGGCCGTGCTAATATTTTGGGAACACGTAATCGAGTATCGGAACAAATTTGTGTCTGAAGTCGAATCTTTAATAAACAAAATCTCGGACTCTAGTCCAGTTTTAACTTCATAAGACACAGTTTTGCGCGTTTACCGCTACAAAAACTCCTTGGTCGTACCTCCTCGTATTTCAGTATCGGAATCCTCGAAATCGACATTTCGAATGACGTACAGTTCAGCGGTCGCTTGGAAGGGAAGGCTAAATTGACCTCTAAAAATCTTGGCGTCCACAGCATAGCGGGACGGTATTTCAAGCAGGCACACCGTTTGCAACTTTACAAGGCGCAAGTTTGCCCTCACATGGAATACTGTTCTCATTATTCCATCTCTGGACCGGGGCACCCCAATGCCAGCTCCTTCTACTTGACCGCGTCCAGCGAAGAGTGGCTCGAATCATCGACGACCAAATTCTTTCTGATCGGCTCGATTCACTGGCGCTGCGAAGAGATGTTGCATCCGTTTGCATTTTCTATTACACCGCCGCAAACACCTGGAATTTCCCTGGTATTGCAGTTGTTCATGGGCGATGGTCGAAACTTACTAACAGGAAAATTTGTGAGCGAAACTACGGCGTGGAAAACTAGTAAAATATAAAGATCTAGTAAATATGGGTTATCAAGTCAGTTAATTTTAACTAGTTTTTATTATCGGTTCAATGCAACGCTAGTTGTTGATTATAATGATGATTCTGTAAAATATAAAGATATGATAACAAAAGCGGTTACATAAACAAATTTAAAAGTATGTATCAGTATGTATGTCAATGTTCACAATAGTGCATTGAAGATAGTCGCAGACGGCAATGTATGAAGTGAGCAACAAATAGCCAGCAAGGGGCTGCGACAGGCGACAGCGTGAGCGTGAGTCAGTCAGTCAGTGGCCACAGGAGCGGCTCGCCAGTGTTCTCCCGAACGCCGAGCGGTTAGCGCGTTTCCACGTTATCGCGCTTTCTCCCCCAAGTGTACTCAAGGCAGAGCAGTTTCGACACGCTACTTGGTTGCGAAAGTCTGCGCGATGATATACAAGTGAGAGCCAGCATCGGACGCCAGGGTAACGCTCATCGCACACGGTGAGCCAGTTTGTTCAACAAAAGACATTCGAAACTCGCCAACTGTGAGGTACGGGGGGCGCGACGGCGTCGGGTCGGGTCGTATACGCGGGAGCAACGATTCCTAACACATACTTACTTTGAGAGAGAAACGTAAAGCAATTTTTAATGTGTCAAGTCAGTATAGCTTATTGCTGCTACGTCAGATCGCAGAACGCCTCCAGCAAGAACTACAAGGTTATGCAAATGAGTTCTGAACGCTTCTATACCAGGGGTAATCTAAAGACCATTCACAACTTTAATAAACTTTAACGTTTACGTTTACCGTACTGTGTTTTAAGTGCTTATCTGTATCGTTTTCCTGTCTTTTTATTATCGTTGAGTGTCGCGATCGCTAATTGCTAAATTCTTAGAGTCTGTGAAAAAGAGTGAGTAGGTGTTTGCGCAGTAACAGTACCGATTGCAACACGGAGTTCCAGCGGGTGTGGAGGATGGCGGCCCCTCAAGAGGAGACGTTATTGTCACGCGGCGAGGTCCCCATCGTCGACTTGGCCCATATAGGTAAATATGCCAAAGCCATAATCTACAACTTAAACTAATATTTAAGCCGAACTAGACACGGCGTTGCAGTTCTTTAAACCTAACGGTCGGTAGCAATTCTACGCTTCGGAGACTTCTAAATAAGCACAAAAGAAAGGAAAGTCGTTTACCTGCGTACATCCCCAATTAAGTAGGTAGGTACCTTGTTCAGCGAGTCCGTCTGTCAATCGACAGCTGTGCAGCGGTGGTTATGTTGGGTGCTGGGTATTATTTGTAACATAATCCCGCATCCTGTTCCGCTCTTAGACTGGTTCACTGACCGAGCATTAAAAATAATCATTAGCAGCATCTTATCCCATACAATAAATAAAACTACGTGTTATTCAGTCATTTAATCTAAGTCAATCTTACACAAACGAAAGTCCTCCGCAACGCATGACATGACGCCTTGTGGGCATCTAGATTAACTTCTTAGGTAAAAACTGAAATCACTAAAATAATTACTCTACAGTCTACATCTCCATCTACTGTTTTCTTTGACTTTTGAAAATGTGTGCACAGTTTATATACGGCTTTTAGTGAGAATGCCATGAATCAGCGACCAGTCACTATAGTAAAACATGTCAAGAATAAAATTAGACTACAAAATTAGGTACTCTCATTATTTTGTGACTATACTTAGAATAAATAAAAGGATAATTTAAAATTAAATATTTTGTACAACCGACTTCAATATAAGTTATTTAAGAATAACTCAAAAACTATTGGTCAGCCCTTGATCAAATTTATATAGGACCACATGAGAAGCACCAGCTTTAAAATAAAAAAAGAATCATCGAAATCGATTCACCCAGAAAAAAGTTATGAGGTAACACATAAAAAAAACATACAGTCGAATTGAATACCGTCTCCTTTTTGAAGTTGGTAGAAAAGATAACTTAAAATTAAAAATTTTGTACAGGCGACTTCAATATAAGTTATTTAAGAATAACTCAAAAACGATTGGTCTGACCTTGATCAAATTTATATGAGACCACATGTGAAGCACCAGCTTTTAAACAAAAAAAGAATCATCGAAATCGGTTCACCCAGTACAAAGTTATGATGTAACACACAAAAAACATACAGTCGAATTGAGTACCGTCTCCTTTTTGGAAGTCGGCAGAAAAGGCGCACGGATCGTAATCATTTTGTATTATTACAAGTATAGAATGTAGCAGAAGAAAGAATAGATGTACTTACCTATATAGAGCAAAAGAAAAAAGTAAAGGATAATTGTATTGTCCAAGTTAAACTAGATTTGTTATTGTGACGTAAATCAGATAAAAACAAAATAAATAAAAATATAAAAGAGCAAAGATTAAACAGTTGGAATAAAGTTTAAAGCGTAATCTATCAGATTACAGTATTAATTTCTTGATAAAAACAAATCCACAAAGCATCAATCAATTAGTGTCGATAAGTGTAGGTATTTAATACCAAATACTGAGCTTATAACAAGTGGTAAAATTAAAAGTTTTGTACAACCGACTTCAATATAACTAAAATGAGAACATCATCATTTTAGTTGAAGTCAATTAAATACGCATTATTAAGAATAACTCAAAAACTACTGATCAGATCTTGATCAAATTATATGAGAGTACATCAAAAGTAGGTACCAGCTTTCAAATAAAGAAAGAAACATTAAAATCGGTTCACATAAGAAAACAGTCGAATTGAGAACCACCTCCTTTTTAGAAGTCGGTTGAACATTTGATTAAGGAAAATAATGTGGTTACGATTGCATTAATTATAATAAAAGCTTTTATAATATATAAACACTTAATATGATTTTTAGATCTAATATTATTATTACATAGGAAAGACATGAAGTGAAGCAGACGTATAAAAAAGAAAACTAAGAACTGAGGGCAACGGCCGACCGGTTCTTTGTAGCACCCGGTTCCCGAACCGAACACTTGCCATACACTGCAGACTCAATTCCATTCCTATTAAAATCCCGATCCCCATCTATGTGAAATGTGAATAGGTGTCATTTACCCCTTTACACAGCTACATTTTATAAACATATTTACTACTATACTACTACGTTCTACACGTATGTTTATCTCATCAATCAGGTTTCATTTGTTTTCATAAAGTATATGTCGACGTTATAATATTTATTCGATATATTGATATATCGTTATATCGTTCTTGATTGACCCTCCTGATTAAATTGAATAATATAGAAAAAAAGTAGGTCGATGTAAGCCATATCATCCACTTAGTGTTACTTAGGCCACATCAGGTAAATTGTATGCTCGTCAGTCACAAAAAGTTACAATATTTTTACATTTTATTACTAAAATCACTCTGCTTTGGTCCAATTCTGGACATGGGCCTCTCCCAAGACGTGCCAGTCTTCGGCTTCACGCATCCATTTGCTGTCAGCTTCTTGCATTTGCAGTCACTTCATCTATCCAGAGATCTTTACACACTATATCGTTTACCTAAACGCTGTCTCCTATCTAGGACTTAAATGAACTCGACTATTCTACCGGCAGTTAATTTTTCGTAAAACATGACGGTCTATTGTCAATTCAGTTTGCAAATCAGGAAGGCCATATCGATGGTCCGGGCGGCCTTTCAATTATCCTCCTATTACGTCTATATAACTACTTCCGAAGATCACAAACAATATTATGATATTAGCTTAGCAAAATACAACTTGCAGTAAGATATTAGTCTTAATATAATACTTACACCCGATGATAAATACACTACTTGTTTCTGTTAAGTTAGTTGTAGTGGGTAACTAAAATTGTAATAAATACGAGTACCGAAAAAATCAAAATACTCGCCATTATTTGTACTTAACAGCAGGTTATATAAATTATTACTGGAAAATGCTGCCTTTGATGTGGTAGAGCCATGCTGCAGCTATATTATGGTTGTAACACGAATGGGGTCGGTTCGACCGGTGAAGGACCTAGCTCTCACAGAATACCAGCGTAAAATAGCAGCATATTGCTAATGTGTTTCGTGTGGTGAGAGTAAACAATCGGAGACACATTTTATTGGAAACGAGGGCATTCCACTTAGTCCTCAGGAGTGACAACGCATCTGCATTTTGATTCCTATACGAAGATAGATGTTTTCTATGACTCATAGCATCATCTCACCATGAGGCGGACTGTGTGTTCGTTTGTAACTCTGATTCTATAAAAAAACTTTACTTTGTCATAGGTCAGAATATTTACGAAAATTTTGTATTTGCATGATATAACCACGCTATATATAACACACTTTGGCCATACCGTAATCAAATAGATTATGGAAATTAACATGTTCACGTATTGATATTATCAACAAGGAGTACAACGTACAACTGTAAAGTCGCTTTTGAAACAGCGCATCATTCATCGCTTATCTTTCGCAATGAGTTCGGCACAGTGTAGGTAAATTCGACAGTCACAGAACTGTCATCAGACCAATGACCTACTTTTATTGTATTCGCTACTCGTTCTCACCCACATACCTACTTATTCATTCGGATAAATTTTTACTGTCGCCGCTGATTAGTTTTCGTTCAAATATTACTTTTAGATCATCACCGAGTCAATATCACATTAATTTTCGAAATATTAAAAAAAATATTTTCACAGTAAAATAGGTATGTCTGAAATCCGGATACTACTTCTATGCGTATATATAAATATAACTATGAGAATAAGAGAATAATATATTATATGACGTCATACCGCTGACCGCCTTAATTGCTAACTATTTATTTATCGAAATGTATATTTTTTACTATCAAAAAACATTTTAATTGTTTAATTATATTTGTAGGTACTAGGTAAATTTATCTTCGCAAAGGTTTATTTTGATGTAATCGAGACACTGTTATACATCAAAAATGTTCTAATTAACTGCTCTACTTATTTATAGCAGAGATCATCGTCACCGAATACATGTTACGTATCGACTTATTCCCTCGACAGAAACAGTAACGTATGCCGTTACTTCCGCGAAATTGTTACACGTTTATATTTCGTTTTATCTTTGTGTTGTCTCGTACTCGGATGTCCACGAAGTCGGTTAGTCGGACATAAGTTAGACTTTTATCTTGCAAAACCGAAAAGTAATCACGAAATCGCCATAAAGAAAATCTTGACGGGAACTGAACACATCCTCTCAGTGCGAAACGATATTCTTCTACCTAGTACTAAATAACAATATTTTATATATACACATCTTGACACTAAATAGGATTATTCTCAACTTCTTATTACAAATTACGTAGTAGAGCCATGCTGCAGCTATATTAATGGTATAGTTGTAGCACGAATGGGTCGGCCCGACCGGAGAGCGTGGTCCTTAACGCTCCTTCCTGTGTTTCGTATGGTGAGTGCAGAGAACCGGAGACTCTTTTTACTAGAAACGAGGCATCTTAGTCCTTAAGGGTGACAACTGACAACGCATCTGCATTTTGATTCTTAATTGAGGGTAGATTTAGATCAAGTAGATGTCAATGAGCTACAGCAACCACTTACCATCAGGTGGACTGTGTACTCGATTGTCACCCTTCTCCTATAAAAAGAAAAAAATAATGAAATCGAACAGTGACTACAAGTTTGCCTTTTAATAAGAGTTTTAGTCGTGACGCAATTCACTATTATTTATATAGATGTTAGGACTACGTTCTGTTTTGATGTCCGTCTTCATCTTCGGCATCATAATCATACCTCATGCCTATTTCTGCCGCCAAGCATCATTGCACCCACTGTTTCAGTTTATGGGGGAAGACTAGCTGTAAGACTTCATATTAGTCCAGAAGGGAAATAACACAGTGGACTTTTTTGTTAGAAGTTGATTGCATGTATTTATAGACTGTAGCAACTATTTAGCTTGTCTGTCACTAATATTATAAAAAGAAACTCTTTTCCTTCACTTGATCACTCTATAAATCCACTCGCAACTCAGTTCTTCTACCGTAAAACGTTGTGAGATTCATGTAATACCAAGTCGGTTAA